GGCGCTCATCTGCAGCCCCGAGCCGCAGCAGAAGCGGCAGCGCACCGGGGGGCACGCTGCCTGCGGCGACAGCCTGGCTGGGGGCAGCGCGCAGGCCGCCGCCGGCCGCCACCTCCCCACCGCCGCCTCGCCCGCCGCCTCGCCCGCTGCCTCGCCTGCCTCGGTGGCTCTTGCCTCGGGGCTGCCCTCCCCAGGTGCCAACGGGTGCAGCCTCTACGGCGCAGGGATGCTGGGGATGGGTGCAGACCCTGCAGCTGGCCTGTATCTTTACGGCGGGTTCTGCCAGGCCGGCGGGCTGAATGGCGGCGTGAAGCAGGCGGCGCACGCCCAGAGCGGCCCCCAGAACGGCGCGTTGACCTCCCAGGTAGGTCGCTGCGCTGGCTGCTGCGCTGGTTGCCGCGCTGTTTGCTGCGCTGGTTGCCGCGCTCCTGCCGCACTTGCCGTCCCTGCCTGCAGCCGCACCTGCTGCTGCCGCCATCCTCCCTGCCCCTGCCCCACCCCGCTGCTGCTGCCCTGCCGCCTGTCCTGCCTGCGCAGGACAAGATGGCTGTGTGGGCGCAGCAGAATGCTCTGATGGCGGCGCTCCACTCCAGCCCCTGCCCGGAGCTGGCGGCGGCGGCGCTGCAGTCGCGGTGGGCCGCCGCGGCGGCAGCCGCAGGCAAGCCGAGAGGGTGTGCGTGCGTGCGCCTGGTGGTGGTGGTGGGGTGGCGGTGGTGGTGTGGTGGAGCAGCTTGTTTTTGGTGTCTGACGACGCTCAGAGGCCCCTCCCCCGCCTTGCCCGCTGTCCCTGTGCAGGCGGCGGCGGGCTGGTGCTCCCCAGCGGCGTGCCCCAGGCCGGCCACGCCCCCTACCCGGGCCCGACTCCCACCGTGCAGGCAAGCCTGCTGCCTGCGCTGTGTTACCGCCACTGCTGCCTGCAGAGAGCGGGCTGGCTGAGTGTGGGGGTGCCAGCGAGGCCATCTGCTAGCCTGCACGGCAGCTAGCCTCTCCCAACGGTTGCCTCCAACCCAAGCTGCCCACGCCTGGCGCCACCTTGCATGCCCCATGCCGGCCTGCAGGTCACGCTGTCCACCACCCCCACACTGCGCGTCGCCCCCGTGGCGCCGGTACGCGTGGCCCAGCCCAGCGCCAGCCTGACCCCCAGCGGCGGCAGCCAGGAGCGGCCGGGAGCCGGCGACAACAGCACCGGCAGCGAGCAGTCGTCGTGAGCCCCAGCGCCGTTGCCAAAACATGGCTGCTCACCTCCTACCATCTCCAGCAGCCACCTGGCAGCCCTGCCCCACCCCTCAGGATACAACATGGCGTGGTGGTACTGCGGTGGCGGCACCGCGGGCAGCTGGGGTTTTCGGCGCGGCACGGAGCAGCACGCTGCTGCCCAGCCCAGCGGGCACCTCCCAGGTTTGGGCTTGTTGGTTTCATTCATCGTGCAGACAGCTTCTCTCCAGCGCGGCGGCTGCGCTTGCTGCGGCACGGCCGATTCCCCCCGCGCCAGCGAACGTGCTGCAGCGCCCGCCTGCGTCCTGTGAACTCTCCCCCTTCTGCTTTCTGTGAACTCTCCCGCGAGACTCGTCCACTTGGCCCCGGTTTGGGGGGCCGCCTCTATGGTCTTTCTTTTTCATCTCCTTGCCTGGCCTTCCTGCAGGTGCCCTGAAATTCAATGAATATCACACTTAAATGTGCACTCCCCCTGCTTGCCAGAGGCGCCTCCCTCTTTCAAGGCGCCTCCTCCCCCATGCCTTCTTGCCGTGCCCCTCCCTCCGCCCCGTCTCCACAATCAAACGCTCATCGCTATCTGAGCGCCGCAGCGCTAACTGCCAATCGACTGTTCATGCTATGAGAGCAAACTCCCTTCCTCTCGTAGCTTGCTGCTCATGCTTGTTGAGCACCTGCACATCTCTCTGCAGCTCTCAGCACCCTGCATCTGCCCGCCCGCATCTGCACACCTGCTCTGCGTCCATGCTGTCATCTGGTTTTCATCCATCCGGTTTTCATCCATGTGCTTTGCCCCCGTACCCGTCCATCCATTCAATGTGTTGTTACAAAGGACAGTGAAGGGAAAGACAAAGGCAGCAAGAGAGGGGCTGCCTGGTGGCTTGCGGGGCGACAGGGGAGCAGGCACCCGCCGCGCCTCCCGCCGCCCGCCAGGCAGCCCTAGCGTCAATAGAAAGAAAGAAAAAACAGCACGGGCGGCGGCGGGCTGCAAGCTGGCAGGGGAGGAAGGACCATCGATGCACGCCTCAGCCCTGCTGCTGCTCCTGCTGAGCCTGGTCGTGCTGCTCGTGCTGCTGCTGCTGGGGCTGTGCCTGCTGCTGCAGTGGCTGCTCCTGCTGCTCCCGCTGAAGCTGCTCCTGCTCCAGCGGCACGTCTGGCTGCTCCTGCTGCAACAGCAACTCTGGCTGCTCCTGCACCGGCGCCGCCTCCTGCTGCTGCGGCTGCAGCTCCAGCAGCAGCGGCGCCCCCGGCTGCGCCGCCTCGGGCTGCGGCGGCACGTGGTGCGGGCGGCTGGGCTGCAGGTGCAGCTGCGCCTGGCCCGCCTGCGCGCCGCCCTGGCGGCACGTGTCGCACACAAACGCCTCCTCGGGCACCGGGTCGTCGTCTGGTATGTGGTAGCACCGGGTGTGCATCCAGATGTTGCTGCGGAGGGGGGTTGTGTGGGGGAGCGCATGGGTGGGCGGGGTGTAGGGTTGGGGCGTGGGGCGGCAGGGGAGAGGGACGCGCATGCCCCGCCACACCCAGCGTTCTCTCTCGCTCTCTCTTCCCATCCCCATACCCCCCCCAAAAATGGCACACACACAGACACCCCAGCCCTCCCCAGCTGTCACAAACACACACCAGCTGTCACCAACACACACACACGCACCCACCCACCCACACGCCCACCCCCGCCGCTCACCAGCTGTCACACATTATCATGCGCTCGCCGTCGTCGTCGTTCACGCCGCACCGGCACCGCACCGCCCAATCCTCCAGCCCACCTGCGGCGGCGGCGGCAGCGGCGGCGGCATACGGGGCACATCAGCGGCGGCGGCGGCGAGGGGCGGGGGGCAGCCAACGAGGGCAGCCGAGTGCGACGGGAGCGGGAGGCACGCGGCTGTGCGAGGCGGCAGAAGCGCAGGACGGGCGGGGAGCTGGCTGGGGGCTTCCGAGCCAAACAATGCCCAAGCTCAAGCTCAAGGCCAAGCTCAAGGTCAAGCCACACAACACCACACTGACCTGCGTGGCGCCAGCGTACCGCCCAGTCCAGCCCCCGCCCCGCCACCACGACCGACGGCAGCGCTGCGGCCTGGGCGCCGGCGCCGGTGCCGCCGCCGGCGTCTGCGCTGCTGGCCTGCTGCCCCGGCGGCAGCAGCAGGTCGGCGAGGCGTGCCGCCAGCAGCACCTGTCGGGCCGCCTCCTGCTGCCGCCACGCCGCCACCTCAACCTCCTGCTCCGCTGTGAGAGGCGGCGGCGGCGGCGGCGGCTGAGGGGCCGGCTGCTGCTCGGCGTCTGCCATCAAAACATCCCCTTGCTGCTGCCCCGGCCGCGGCTGCGTGCCGTCGTGCGCCGCCACGGCCGCCGCCACGGCGGCGGCGGCCAGCGAGGCTGCCAGCTGGCTGTCTGGGGCCGAACCCGCCCCTTGGGAGCGCTCCGCTGCAGCAGAGGCTACAGCAGCAGCAGGCACAGCCGCAAGCCCCTGATCCTGCTGCTGCTGCTCCTGCTGCAGCCGGCCATTCATTTCCAAGCCCTCCACGCCCGCCACCACCGTAGCCAGCGCCTCTGCGGCGGCGGCAGCCGCCTCCGCAGCCTGCCCATCCACCTCCATCGCCTCTGCCGCTGCTTCGCTGCCCGCTGCGCAGCCCGCTGCCGTGGTGCAGGCCGCGTCGCCGACGGCAGCAGCGGCGGGCGGCGGCGGCGGCGGCAGGTGGGGCTGCGGCGCCGGCGCCGGCACCGCCGCCGACAGCCCGCCCACCACCGCCTCCGCCTCCCAGCCGCGGCACATGCGGTAGGAGCCGCGGAAGGCGGCGGTGGCTGCCTGCAGCAGCTGCCCCACCGTCGCGTCTGCCGGCAGCAGCAGCACCTCGGGGGGTGGGCGCACCGGGGGCGCCCACGACGGCTCCCTGCACCGGAGTAAACATAAAACGTTTTACTTAAGAAGAGAGCGAGAGGGGCCATGTTTGCACACGGCTGCTGCCCCGTGCAAGGCTGCCGGGCAGCCAGCGTGTGCCCGCTGCATTGCAGCACACACACACACACACACACGCAAACACTCGTGGCAAGGGGCAGGGGAATGCATGCGTGGGGCTGCCACCGGGCGGCGCAGCGGGCTGCGGGAGAGGGGAGAGGGCAGAAGGTGGCGGGGCAGGCGGCAGCGGGGCGCACCCCTCCCCGCCCTCATCCTCTGGAAGCTCTTCGGGCAGCGCCAGGTGGCACAGCAGGCGCAGCATGCCGGGCGGCGCCGCGCTGCAGCCACGGCGGGGCGGGCGGCAGGCCGGCGGGCGTCAGGCGGGCGACGGGAGGGGCATGCAGCAAAGGCGTGGGTGAGGGAAGCCCCCGCTGCAGGCAGAAGGCGCAGCTGCCTGCTCCACCGCCACCACACGCACACGCACACGCACACCACACCGCACCACACATAAGCGCACACACATGCAGGAACCAGTTTCCCAGGAGCTTTGTCGCAGACGGCGCGCCCCCCCGGGCTGCACAGGTGCACCACCCTCCCGCTCACCCCAGCCG